GGGCTTAGGGCTTAGGGTTCTTAGGGTTCTTAGGGTTTTAGGGTTTAGGGTTCTTAGGGTTCTTAGGGCTTTAGGGTTTAGGGGCAGCCCAAACCTCACCCCGAAGCCTGACAGTCGCTTCTTCCACTGCAGGGCTGCGACGATGCCGTCCGCCCGGGCCTCTTCCCGGTTAGGGTTTAGGGTTTAGGGTTTAGGGTTCAGGGGGTTTAGGGTTTAGGGTTTAGGGTTTAGGGTTGGGGGGGGGTTCAGAAAACTAGGTCGGGAGGTCCTTAGTATAGCGATTACTATGGCAATAGTGTTCCTGGGGGTTTCGTATTACATTTCTACCTTTGTACTACAAAAAAGCCCAGAACCCTGTTCTCATTAGCCCTAAACCCTAAACCCTAAACCCTAAACCCTAAACCCTAAACCGCGCCCCTGTAGTGTACTGTTTAGATTTTCATCTTGGGCCCCCTTGAATCCAAAGCTCCGAATTCGTGGTTTTAGGGGTTTTCGGGCACCGAGGCTCCCTACGGCTTCTGAATTTCTTAGGATACCCATAGGCTCCTAAGTAGTTCCTTTTTGCCTATCTAGAGTCCTATATGGTAATCCCAAAAAGGAACTACTAAGGAGCCTATGGGTAGTTGTACCAGAATTCACCCCGGAACCCTATTCCAACCATTACGGCACCTGCCCCGAACCCTAAACCCTAAACGGTGAGCCCTAAACCCTAAACCCTAAAGCCCTAAACGCTAAACCCCAAACACGAAAACCTAAACCAGAAACCCTAAACCCGGAAGCCCCAACCCCAGGTGCTAAGCCCTCACCTCTTGAACCCCACCCTAAGCCCGTCTTTGCTGCCCTGTGGCATCTAAGCCCCACCTGGGCTTCAAAGCCCCGCTTCTCTTGAGCCACGGCGGCTTGTCCGTCGATAGTTAAGAACTGCCCAAACCCTAAACCCTAAACCCTAAACCCTAAATTGGGGTATCTTTTTCAAGGAATTCCTATTACAGGACTGGGGTCGAGGGTCCTTAGAACCACGCTGCTAGATGCAGTCGACCTGTCGAAGAAGTCACAAATATCCTAAACCCTAAACCCTAAAATCCTTGAAGAAGCAGCGTTGGGTTATTTTCGTGTCAGACAAGACACTCCACATCCAAGGGGCCAATTCACTGTATGTTTGTTGGAAAAGCCAATTGTAGCAACACCACCACCACCAACAACAACCACCAGCTTCCCTAAACCCTAAACCCTAAACCCTAAACCCAAAACGTTAGGCCCCAAACCCCACCACCCCCTAGCACCGAGGGGCTGCCCGTGTCTTTGGACCAGCGTGCCGCCGAGGCGCCGAAGAGCCCCTTCAGGGGTTCTGTAAAGTTCTGTACGTGTTTTGTACGGGTTCTTTGGGGGTTTCGGTGGTTCTGCGTTTACGCAGGTTTGGGCTAGGGCTAAGCCTCTTGATCGCGATGTTGTCTGCGAAGTAGAGTTGGTAACCAGTGATGCTGTATTGCTGCGTGATGCTGCAGGCTGACGATATCACGGATAACAAGGATGACGAGAATCTTAACGCTGATGATGATGATGATGGTGGTGGTGATGATGATGGTTGATGCTGTCACAAGTCGGGCCGTGATTATCATGATGACAATGATCCCTGATCCTTGCTACTGCCCTTCTTCTTCTTCTTGCGGCTGTCATCCCGGTCGGCGGCGCTGTTCGTACTTCTAGCCTTACTACATTTGTTGGCCTTACTACATTCGTTGGTTTTGATAGTTCTTCTCTGATTGTTCCTCTGACAAATTCTTCGTTCATCGAGATGAGTCGGGATGCCGCATGAGATCAGTCACTCGAGAAATTCGCAAATCCATACGACCCTAAACCCTAGACCCTAAACCGACCATGCCATGGCAACAGTCCTCATGTGACACGGGCAAATCCGTGAAAGCCGCATTTTCTGCTATACTATAGGAGTATAATATAGCATCTCCGCATCGATCCTTTTATGTCATCAGCCCTCAACGCACGATGCACCCTGTGGTTACGATCTACGCTGTGGGCCCCACGTGCACCCTAGTGCATAACCTTAAACACGAAAAGTCACAAATGCCCCCGAGACCCCCCACAACCCTACAACCCTAACCCCTCAAACCCTACAGTCTTAACCCCTAAACCCTACAACCCCAGCCCCTAAACCCTAAACTCTGAATCACCGAACCCTCCACCCCGAAGGCTTAAACCCTAAGCCCGAAATCCGAAGCCCCTAAAACCGAACCCCCCAAAACACCTGCGGCCTTGCAGTAGTATCTCTTCTATGTATAGTGTAGCTCCTCTTAAACCCTAAACCCTAGACCCCAAAGCCTACACCGTTTAAAACTTCATTATTGAGACTTCTCCAGTTTTTGTTGAAACTTTGACGCCTGATCGACGCAGAATGCGAAACCTGCCAAAGGCTACCCTAAACCCCTAAACCCCTAAACCCCTAAACCCTATACCCCTAAACCCGTAAAAAACGCTCAACCCCCAAAACGCCCTAAACCCCTAAAAAACACATCAAAAAAGCCCTAAACCCCTAAACCCCTAAAACCCCTAAACCCCTCCCCCAAAAAAGCTCTAAACCCCCTAAACACCCCAAAAATTCTCAAAACCCCTAAACCGCAAAGCTCCAATGCGAAACCTGCCAGGTCTCGCCCGAAGCCATCCTTGGCCTGGCTGTTCCCGGTGCTGTGCGAGGCAGTCTTGGGCTCCATGCCTTTGGGTTTTTAGGGCTTTTAGGGTTTAAGGGTTGAGGTTTCGGGTTAAAGGTTTTTAGGGTTTAGGGCTTGTGGATTTAGGGTTTAGAGTTTTTAGGGTTTTTAGGGTTTTAGGGTTTTTAGGGTTTTGGGTTTTGGGTTTAAGGTTTAGGGTTTAGGGTTTAGGGTTATCTGCTTGGGGGTTTGAGGGTTTGGGTTTCAAGGCTGGCAGTTTAGGGGTCACGGCTTTCTAGCGCTTAGGGCTTAGGCTTCAAGCCTGTGAAGGCTCAGGGCTGCCTGACTTCTGGGTGTATGGTGTAAGCCTTTCTTAGGGTTTGGGGTCTAGGGTTTAGGGTTTAGGGTTTAGGGTTTAGGGGTGTATGGTGTAAGTCTTTCTTAGGGTTTGGGGTTTAGGGTTGGCGTTTGATGTGCTTGTTCCCCTAAGGGTCCAAAGGACCTAATAATCATGTACTTGGTTTACGGATAGTAGTTTTGTAGGTTAGCATTCAGAAGAGTATATATGATTATTCGGTGCTTGGATCCTTGGGGTTCCTGCAATAGTGACGTCATCTGTACCTCGCGGTGAAGAGTCGCGGATAGAGCGGTTATACAATACGGCCTTGAAGGGTTGGACCTGCGCGCGAGCGTCCGTGCATGAGTTCTGGCCCGCCCCTCCAGCAGACTTCAGCTGGCAGACAGCAGCTTCATCTCGCGCTCATTTTGGGCCGACAGAAGAGGGGCGGGAACAGCGCCGCCGGGAGAGTCCGCAGAGGGCTCCATCTTAAGATCGTCGGGGGATTTGGGCACGAACTTCTGGGACTGAGGGACAGCATTGGCCACCTAGCAGAGTCTGATTCCAGCAAGCTGGAGATTGCGGAGAACTATTGCCACTGGCTGTTTAGGGTTTAGGGTTTAGGGTTTAGGGTATCAGGAGATACCTGCCTTCCTGGAGTCGGCCGGCCCATCAATCTTCTCGCGAGCAGAGGGCTCTTCTGTGCCTGAACCCCATCCGGGCATCTACACTCAGGGTCTTCCTCCCAGGGCAGCGTCGAAGCATGTGGGGCCAAGCCCTAAAACCCTAAATACCTAAACCCTAAACCCTAAAACCCCAAGGCCCCAAGCCTAAACCCCCAAAACCCTAAACCCTAAGCCCTAAAACCCCAAGGCCCAAGCCTCAAAGCCCGAAAGCCTCTTCGCAAGGTTTGCCCCAGATCTCACCGGTCTTCCACCGGGCCTCGGTGGCGGATGGCGACGTCTTGGCGAAACTTTGGGGCGCGGAGGGCTTTGGGGTCTGGGGGCTTTATGGTCTCGGGGTCTAGGGATTTAGGGTTTAGGGATTGGGGTTTGGGTTTTGTTTGGGCTAGGGTTTCGGAGTTA